ACATTGTGGACCGAATCTAGTTTTACTTTATTCATCCCACTCATAAAAGATCCCCTACTGATCAATAAAAATTTCTCGAAAAAAGAAAAAAAAAGATTAATACTTATTCACTTTATTTTTAAAAAATTAAAAAAAATAATATATTTTTTTTTCAATAAGTAAAATTTTAAAATAATATTTCTTCTAAACTTTAAGAAATAAAGACAGAAAAAATACTTTTTTTTTTTGAACAGTTTTATCATGAAACGGGTTCAAAACCCGCTTAAGGGAGGAGGATGTGCACTTTTCAGTGGCTCTAGCCACCGGACAATACGGGCCAAGTGCCAGAAAAAATACTATTTAAAAAAAAAAGATATATATATTTATATTTACCTAAGGTTATCTGTTAGAACTTCATGGCATGGGGCGCGAACTTTAACAACCTACCCAGTGAAGTAGGTAAGAACTTCCTTGCAAACAAGTAGCACACATTTGTTGTCCGTCCATTGTATTCACATGTCGTCCCGCTCCTCAGCTTCTCCAAGAACTCTATTGTCACCTCTTGCCGGATAAACCTGTTAGGGTGAGGCCCGCCTTTAGACCAGTCGACCCAAGTCAATGTCCTGTTCGAGTTCTTCCGTGGAAACTTCGCGGTAATGAATGTTGGTAAATAATGTTCGTCTGCGTAGCAGTTGCCCTTGCAGTGCTTTTGGAACGCGGGGAAATATGTTTGGTCTGAAACCACTTCAACGGCGAGATCTCGGTCCATTTCAAACCACTGCGCTCCTTTTCTCCATTGGTCGATTGTGATTTCCGGACGCATATTATGGTTGTATCGACCGTTGCCGACGGGGCCTTCTAGGACGTAAGACTGGACGAAGCTCTGAGTTGAGTTGATGAGGTAAGAGTAGATGGTGGTGAAGTTGAAGAGCGGAATGCATGATTCGGAAAGGAGGACGAATCTCTGGTTAGAGAAGTCGAGGAGTGCATTGGCCAGGAGGCGGCGTTCAGCTTCAACCATGTTCACTTTACCCCATCCTACTTTCTGCATTACGGGAAAAGTTAGCAAATCAACATATCAATACACATATTCTCAATTGTACACAAACATAATTAACTTATTTAGGAAAAATACAAGAAATTTCAAGCGTGTTTGGGTTGCCATTTTTAAAAATCAAATTAAAAGATGCTGTGGGGTATTTAATTGACTAAATTGTAATGAGTTGATTTAAATTGTCAAATAAGGAAGGAATAAATGATTCAAGCAATTTTACTAATTCACTAATAGTATTATTATAGAGTTTTTTTTTAAAAATAATAATTAAAGGATAAATTATAATTAAGAGAAAGTCACCTCACTTCAAGTTAAAGATATATTCAATATATTTTTTCATTATAAATTTTTAATAAAAAATAAAAATTAACTTTTAATTTATCAATTATTTAATTAAATCCACTTAACATTAAAATTAATATTAACTTTTTATATTTTTATATATATTTATAATAAAAATATATATATATTTGGTAATATAATAAAAAATATTATTAATGTACCATAAGAGCACCTATTAAAAAAATACTATAAAAAATGTTTGGTCAAATTCTTTTAGTAATTGATTGGAAATTTGACAATGAGACCAAGTAGAAATCTTGGCATTGATTAGGGATAAGAAAGTTCCTAGTTTTCATTGTCAAAAGAAGAAGGGGCTTGGTTGTCACTAACTAATAAGAGGGTTCCCTTCACATTGTCTCATCTTAAAATGTTATTGCTGCAGTCAACAGGTGACGTAGACCTGTGATGATCAATTATCATCAGGACCATCAAGATTATTACACACGCCTAAAGCACATATTAACTGCATTCAAATGGGATTTTGAAACTGTACCAAAAAAAAAAAAAATGGGATTTTGAAAGTTGTCACATGTATGATCTCATTGTTTGAATTGAATCCATTTGTAACAAAGTTGAGGTTGGGTTATTTTGACACAACCTTTGGTTGAAGCCGTACAAATAAACAAAATTTATAAGACGTGCACACCTTTTACATGCATTGGTCCATCCAAAAGTAGAGGAGAAATAACCTATCCTAGAAGTAATACTCCGTAACATAATACTTTGTTTTGGGGAACGTGTCGTAGACTAGCTAAGTCAAGCAAAGTAACACCATAGATAATACATCATAAAATTTATAAAGTCAATCAACATGATTGTTTTTTTTTGGTGTTTATGTCAATATGAGCCGAACACCCCCAAAACAGCGAAGAATACTCTTTTTTTTAAAAAAAAAAAAAACCAATATTTGAATTCGATTCAATCATTCCCCTTTCATACTTAAATCTTTAAAAACAGAAAGCACAAAAATTAAATATGGAATGTCTAGATATGATAAAAGAAAATCATGTTTTACTGTTTAAAATTGAAACGTAAATTTTATTAGATGTGAGAAGGTTTTAATATCATGAGCCAATTCATTTGGTGGTTATATTTTATATAATTTGACATAATTTAAATTATAAAATATTCATTTATTTATTTATTATTTTAAGAATCGTGGGGCAAAAAAAAAAAAAAAGCTGCAAATTGAAATTAAAAAATATAGGGAGAAAAAAGAAGAAACTTGACTTACCTGGCTGGGAATTCTTCTGCCATGAAATATTGAGGGCTCTGTTTCTGATTCATTGAAAGATGGATCCGAATGGACATAGATTGAGTACATCCCTTCGTGTCCTTGGAAAAATTTCTCCCACAACGGCGCCAATAGAACAGGACCTTTCGTCAAGAACATGAAAGCCACCTTTGGAATCCGGTTGAACGGATACTCATGAATCCGAGGTGCCATTGATGCTCTCCAGATCAACTCAGAATCGTTCATGTCATGTCTGATGATGGGTGGCTTGAGATATTCCTTCAGTCCTATTCGCATGGGTTTTGGTGGTGGTGGTGGTGGTGGTGGTGGTGGAGGCGGTGAGGATGGCGTTGACGCTGGAGGGATGGAGAGGGAGAACTGGGTGCTGTGTAGATCAAAGGATGAGTTTCTAACATGTGAAGTGAAGATGACCCCGAGAGTAAAACCGCAGGTGAAGAGGAGAAAATACGAGACGCGATTGATGGAATACAACTGGGCATTGAAGAATTTGATGGGGGAGATTGCCGGACTCTGTTTTTGATCACCCTTCATTTTTTCTTTCTTTCTTTTTTTTTCTCTCTGTGATTTTCTCGGGAAAGTTACAGAAAACGAAACTGATATATTAGAAAACTAGAGTAATATAACAAAACGCATGCAGTGATTCCATCAATCTGAAACAGAAAGCATTAAATTTTCTGAAGATTAAGAACGCAGAAGATGAGGAAACAGTAATATGTATTGGGGGATTGAAAGGTTGAAGAGGAGAAAGGAAAGGAGGAGGTGAGAAGTGAGGGAGGGCTGTTTTGTGTGCTTTAAATTTGATTGAGTGTTGCAAGCGAAGGGTTGCCTTTGTAGACCGCAGGGCTGACCGGAGCCCGTAAAGAGCCCTGTTTTGGGCAATATTTCCATACGCGACAAAATTACAATCTTCGCCCCTAATTTCGCTACGCAAAAACCCTTCTTAAGCCCCTCGACTTTTTTGACGGTGAGTGATGAGCCCTTACACTAAAAAGGTGACAAATAAGCCCTCCAACC